AGGGAAAGAATGAAATAACACAAGGGGTGTGAGTTTGCACGAGAGGGTTGAAAAGGAGCAGCCACTAAGAAATCATAGTACAGTTTGGGGCAGGGCGGGAGGAGGTTGCACAGAGGAAAAAGAGACTTCAGTCATACAGATTTAAGAAGAGGAGCCCCAAAAAGAAGGTAAGGAGAGAGGGAGGGATGGGTAGGGGAGGGAGGAGGAAAAGGAAAGGGAGGAGAACGGAGGGAGGGAGGGGAAAGGGAGGGAGGGAGGAAGTGAGAAGGGGGGAATGGAGAGAAAGAAGGTGAAAAGGAAATAAGGGAAGGAGGGAAGGCAAAAAAAAATGGAAAGAAACATGGAATAAAAATCATAGACAAAGGAAATAAACACAGAGAAGGAGGAGAGGGAGAGAGGAAGGGGAGGGAAGTAGGAAAAGGGTTAGTCAATAGGTAAAGGTAGAAAAGAGGGAATGGAGGTCTGAAAAAGAAGGGCCTGTAAGAAATCCAAATACTTTGAAGTGTGAAGGGTTTAAAAAGGAGATCTCCCTGTAAAAGAGACTGTGAAATGAACAGGTAAGTAGGCAATAGGTAAGTCTGACTTTAAACAATAAACTAAGCGGGGCGGGGGGGCGGGTGATAGAAATGTTAACAAGGATATGACGGTAAGAAAAGAGTAAAATTAAGTATTATATGTGTGTTGGGGTGGCTATGGATTTTGAAAACCCACTATGAAAGAGAGCTATGGCCAATCAGTGGCATGGTTATTAAGGCAGCTGGATCCCAGCTATGGCCGACTATATAGTTCAAGTCCCAGACCTGGTGGCTTGAAAAACACACCAGGTGTGTGTACATGCATACCCAATATCCTGAGAGGGGATGGAGGAGGAGGTGTGACCATACCACCAGGAGTGGGGTGCTTTCTTACTTTCCCTCTCTCTCTCCAATGAGCACATGTGCCCTATAGCAAAAATTAAAGAGAGAAAGAACTAAATAGAAATAGAGATAACTGGGCTGGCCCTGTAGCCTGGTGGTTTAGGGAGCCAAATCCTACTTGACTGACTGCATGGTTTGAATCCCAGCCCCAGTGGCTAGAAAAACATGCTAGGTATGTGTACCCAAAATCCCCAAATTCTGACAGGGCGGGAAAATGGAGGCAAAGGGATTGCAGCATGACCACATCCCATTGAAAGGTGTTTCTCTCTCTCTCTCTCTCTCTCTCTCACACACACACACTCACACACACGCACAAGTGCAAAACCCCTCTGGCAAAATTCTTTTTTAAAAAAATAGGGCTGATTGACTAGGTAGGTAGATAGTTGGGTAGGGAAATAGGTATGTAGATAAGACTCTATAGAGGAAAAGCCAGGAAAAAAACAGTGCTGTACTGAAAGATAAAAATAGTGTAAAAAGAGCAAATAAGAAAATCAAGTACAATATGAGGGAGAATTTAAAATGGTAAAAGTAAGGGCCAGCAGGTGGCACAGTGGTTAAGGCACTGGATTCCCACATGAACGACTGTGGTTTGAGTCCTAGACCTGCTGGCTTGAAAATCACGCCAGGTACATGTGCATGCTTGCCCAAAATCCCGAGGGGAGACAGGAGGAGAAGGAATGGCTGTGTGGCCATCCCCCCTCAGTGGTGGGAGGGATGCTTTCTCACTTTCCCTCTCTCTCTCTCCAGCAAGCAAGCATGCCCTATGGCAAAAACCTAAAAAAAAAAAGGTAAAAGTTAAAGATAAGTAGGATGGACTTTTAAAAAAGACAGAGGGCCAGCAGGTGGCGTGGTGGTTAAGGTGCTGGACTTCCATATGGCCAACTATAGTTTGAGTCCCAGGCCTGGTGGCTTATGTTCTTGCTTTCCTTTTTTTCTTTCTCTGTGGTCAGATTTTAAAATAATAAATAAATATTAAATAATTTTTAAAAAGAAGACAGGGAAAAAGCAATACAGGAAGAATAGTAACAGAAAAAAAGGAGGAATAGAGTGAAAAAAAGTGGAGACAGTAAGAAAATCAAATGCAGCTGTTTGTGTTGTGTGGGATAAAATAAAAATATGAAAGTCTTAAAAGTATGGTAAAATGTGAGTACTTTGATAGCTATTGATAAACCAATAGATAAAGTTAACATTGTAAAAAAAAAAAAAAAAACAGTTCAAAAGACAATATAGGAACAAGAATGTTTTCAAGAGAAGGAAAGAGTTTACAAACAGAAGCCAGGGCCAGCTCCATAGCCTGGTGGTTAAGGCAGCTGGATCTGACATGGCCAACCCTGTGGTTCAAGTCTGGATCAGGCAGCCTGTGAAAAACATGTCAGGAGTGGAAAGGAGAGAGGGACGGGTGAGGAGGGCTGTATGAAGGAGGGAAAAAGGAAGAAGCCGAAAGTGGAAGGATGAACATGGGTGATAGAAAAAGTTCGTAGAAATAGGGAGTTGGCAAGAACAAGAAAAACATACACAGACGGAAGGAAGAAAATGAGAGAAAAAGAACTTAAGGGAGAAGGGAGTGCAGCAGCGTGACCACACCCCACTGGGGGGTGCTTCCTCTCTGCTTTTCTCTGGGGAGCTCATGATCCCTCTAGCTATTAAAGAATGACCTGAACTCCAAAGAGGGTTTTAAAACAATTAAACATTTTAAAAATCATAATAAAAAGATTCACTACAAAAAGCATAATACAAGAAAGACATTAAGTATGAGAATGAAAGGTGTTTGTAAAAGAGGAGCCAGTAAGAAAACCAAAGATAATTACAGAAGGGGGAGAGACTTCAAGAGCAGAAGAGAAAGGGGGAAAAAACTAAAAGAATGATAGACGATAATGAGTATTGATTATGATATAGATTGTTAATAGATAGAAAAAGGCTGTATGGGAAAGAAAAAAAGTATTTTAAAAATTAAAAATAGGAGCCAGAGGGACCAGCAGTTGGCATAATGGCTATTTCGCTGGACTCCCATGTAGTCGACCGCGGGTCGAGTCCCAGACCTGGTGGCTTAAACTCACGCCGGGCACATGTGCATGCATGCCCAAGATCCCGAGAGGAGAATGGAGGAGAAGGGATTGTGGCATGGCCATCCCCCCTAGGGGGTGACTTCTTGCTTTCTGTCTGTCTCTCATTGTCTTTCGGGCAAGCGCATGCGCCCTGTAGCGAAAACCTCTCCAAAAAAAAAAATAGCCAGAATTTAAAAAGAAACATAAAAGGAGGAGGAGGGGAGGGAGTGTCAAAACCAGAGTTGAATTGCAAACCCAGATTTCATTCAGGACTTTTGCAATGGGAGTAAAGAGA